GAGTTCGAAACCCCAGCCTGGCAAGATCGGACCCCTCTCTCACTATCAAATATTTGAAGAAATTCAATTGGACCAACTAACGTACTATCAGAAAAAAATTAGCGTGGGCATGGGTGGCACATGCCTGTTAGTCCCAGCTAATCGGACGAGCTGAGGCAGGAGGATTGCTGAGCCCAGGAGTGCTGAGGTTGCTGTGAGGCCAGTGCTGATGCCCAGCGCACTCACTCTAGCCTGGGCAACAAAGCCGAGGACTCTGTCTCAAAAAAAAAAGAGGTGTCTTCTGAGCTGGGCGCATCGGTGACGGTAACTGTCTGTAATCCTAGCACTCTTGGGGAGGGCCTAAAGCAGGAGATATTTGAGGCTCAGGAGATCGAGACCAAGCACTGAGCAAGAGGAGACCTGTCTCTACTTAAAAATAGGAAGGAAATTATTTGGCCAACTAAAAATATATAGAAAAAGAATTAAGCAGGCATGGTGGCGCATTCCTGTAGTCCAGGTACCGGGGGAGGCTGAGGCAGGCAGGATTGCTTGAGCCCAGGGAGTATTGAGGCGTTGTGTTGAGCGCTAGGACTGATTGCACGGGCACTCACTCAGCCTGGGGCAACAGAGTGAACTCTGTCTCAAAAAGAAAAAAGAGCGTCTATTGTTTACCTGGCGGCAGGTGGCCGCATGCCCCAGGATACCGTATGCTGCCCACGCGTGGACTGGGTGGGAAACCTGGAACACGGACACGTGGTGTTGCACCATCTCCGGAGGTCTGAGCTAAGGTGAGCCGGTGCTGGTGCTTCACCTGGTGCCTACGCAAGCTGACCCCAGTAAAACTACTGGATACTGAGGCTCAGTGGTCTTCTTCTGGTTTATGGCATAGATCGCAATGTATCGTCATCACATCACGTGGGAGATAGTCAGCCGCATATAGCCCTGGGAAAGGAATCGAGCAGCTCGTGCTGGATCGTCTCGGGACCCGCCGCCAGGTACCTCCCTCCTGGCTGGTATTCATCCTGCCATTTTCCTTTCACTGTGGGAGACGATAGCCACGAGTATAGCAGCTTTCCTGAGTTCTGCGAGGTCCGTTCTGGTGAATCATCATAACTCTGAGTAGGGTGACTTGGGGGCAGCCGTGAACTTGAAATTTGTGTCAGAAAGTGAAGGTTGTTTCCTGAGGACCCCGATTGCAATTTGTGTCAAAACGAGGGGGGAAGGTGTTGGACCCTGAGCCTTTAGCCAAATATTAATAATAGCCCCTCTCATTGGTGTAAAGAAGAAATGATGAAGAGTATATGTATATAAGCCGTCTATTGCACACGGCTCAGCCAGAATATAGTTCCGACGAACGATGGTTTGAGCCCATATGTGTCTTCTGTGTGCGCAGCAGCTCTGGGGTGGGCCTCTGCTTCTGCCGCTCATTGCCGTGAGGTGTGGACAAGTCTATCGTCCCGCTGACCTTGCTTCGCCTTAATTCAAAGCCACGCCTGTGAAGAACGAGTTAATAGATGCAAATCCCCCAAGACAGGCCTGGCACACGCCTCGTGTGCTGGTTTTTATTATTGTTACAAGCACTGAACCCGAGTCAGAGGATGCCAGGCCCAGCCCTGATCCTGGCACCAGCCAGCCACGGGACCTGCAGCACCTGGCCTGCGGGAATCCCACGTCCCTGTCGGGAGAAGGAGAGGCCTCCGCACTTTGGCGGAGGCTTCCAAAGCCACTCCTGCTTCTGAGATTGCCCAACGGTCGCACAGCCAGTTGGTTATCGGGCTGCTCCGTGGGGCAAGGCCCAGCGCCTGATGCAAACCGTAAAAGCATGATTGATTTACCTGTCGAAACTTCAGGGGCGGGGCTTGGCCTGTCCCTGTTTGACCTGAAGGGGAGGATCCATGGGAACGCCACTGGCTGAACACAGGCAAGACAGACGGCCCTGCAGGTGAGAAAGGAAGGGCGTGTGTTTTACCTTATGCCAGGTCAAGCATCACTGAGAGGTGACATTCGAGCCCAGGAGTCCTGTGCAAAGACCCGGGGAGGGCATTCCCGGCAGGCAGGCAGTGGGTGCATAGTTACAAGCAGTAGGGGATGTATTTGTGAGCTTTGTGTGTGGACAGAATCCAAAGAAGGTCAGTGGAGCCTGTGACAAAGGGCATGTGGTGAGCACGAGGCAGGGGGCCGGCAGGAGCCACAGTACAGGATGGGAGTTTATCATAAAAAGGATGAGAAGCCTGGAAAACTCCAAGCAAGGAAAGGGCAGGATCTCACTTTTTTTTTTTGAGACAGAGTCTCGCTTTGTTGCCCAGGCTAGAGTGGAGTGCCGGGCATCAGCCTGGCTCACAGCAACCTCAAATCCTGGCCTCAAGCGATCCTTACTGCCTCAGCCTCCCGAGTTAGCTGGGACTATCGGATGCTGGCCACCATACACCGGATCTCTGTGAAAATAAACATTCTGTATAGAACTAGTCTATTAGTATTGTGCCAATTTAATTTATTTCCTTAGGCTTCATTCTATGGGACATGTGTCGTCCATCAGCTCCTGACCCTGGTCAGGTTCTGGCTTTCGAGCTCCTCGCCTCTCAAGCGACAACTACACGCCCCTAAATTTAGCCAAATTCCTGAACACCACACAACGCCGCAAACAGGCACCAGTATCCATGCTGTGTAGCAGAACACCCATGGAGTGTGTATGCGAGATCAGTCACAATTTAAAATGCAATGTCATATCCAGTGTTGTTCTAAAACATTGTAGACTTCCTGGATATAGTATAAAAAAAGGAATCGCTGGCTGTAAGATAGAAAGCACGGTCGCTTATATGGCTGCCAAAGGGGACTTAAACTAGCAACTAGGCGCTGGTGCTCGCCAGCTGGCAACTGCAGTGGTGTCACACCTGTGATCCTAGCTTGCGAAGGTAGAGTCTCTCTATTTGCTGGTGGGACATAGCTCTACTCTGACTGTACGTTAAGGTACAAAATCAGCGTCAGGAAGCTTGTCGCAGAGACGCAAGAGCACTAGAGCATTAGAGCGTGTCCCGATGTCTCGTACAGAAATAGAAGATGTACATATTTTATATCTCAAAGACTAGAAGTGATTGTTAGGAATGCCAGTCAGCACTATTATAATAATTTATTCAAATTCCCAATTTTCTAGGACTGCACAATGCCTGTTACATACCGAGCCGTTAATACATTGGAAATGAAGATAAGGAGGTCTGCTCTGGTATGAGTATTTGCTTTATAGCCCCTAGTATGTTGATAAGAACGCCATTCTATGATGTGTAGTCTATTGGTGACGCCGCGAAGCACGAGTCTCACGATGATGCGGCCATTAGGCACATGAGCAGGACTCTGTCTCATATATATAAATAAAATACATATAATATAAGTGCAGGGTCTAATATGTACCCTGATATAAATCCTTCTGCGAAGGAGGAGAATTTTCTTGTTTAAGGGGGGCATCAGGAAAATATTGAGCCAGAAGCGCGGAATGACCACTGACAGTAAGAGGGAGCCATGGCAGGATAGGGAGCATTGAGGAAGTTCCCACCTCCTGGTGGGAAGGAGATTGGCTCAACCATGTTTGGAAACAGGTAGAATCTACTAAAGCTGAACATACCTCCACCCCATGACCCAGAAACTCCAAGCCAACAAGAAGGCAAGCACGAGTGCATCGAAAGACACGCACAAGTTTGTTCCCAGCAGCACTACTGTTTCCTAATACTGGGCACTGCCCAGTGCCCATCAGTAGAAGAATGGATGCGTTGTAGCTTATTCACCCGGTGGAGTACTACACTGCAATGAAAAGGACTGAGCTACTTACATATGCAAAAACCTGGATGCATCTCAGAGTTTGCTGAGTGAAAGCCAGACACTGACGAGTGTACACTCTTCTATTACATTCATAGGAAGTTCAAAAAGATGGCCGGGCGCGGTGGCTCACGCCTGTAATCCTAGCTCTTGGGGGCCGAGCGGGGCGGATTGCTCAAGGTCAGGGTTCAAAACCAGCCTGAGCAACCCCGTCTCTACCATAAGAATAGAAAGAATTAATTGGCCAACTAATATATATGTATATAAAAAAATCAGCCGGGCATGTAGGTGGCGCATGCCTGTAGTCCAGTACTCGGAGGGCTGAGGCAGGAGGATGCGCTTGAGCCCAGGAGTTTGGGTTGCTGTGAGCTAGGCTGACGCCACAGCAATCACTCTAGCCTAGGAAGAAAGCGAGACTCTGTCTCAAAAAAAACAAACAAACAAAAAAAAAAGAGACAAAACTAGCCTTTTGGTTTAGAAACCCAGATGGTGGCTACTTTCGGGGAGAAAGGCAAGAATAATGAGTGATTGGGAAATGCCCAAGGGCTTCTAAGGCGCTCATGATGTCCCGTAGTGTCTCGAGTGGCAGTTACGTGGGTGCTGGCTTTGGAACAATGAATCGAGCCTTACACTTGGATCGAAGGGGGAATTGCGAAATACTTTCAAATGCACCCCCAAAATCACTCTGTTTCTCCAGGGGAAACGGGGCGTTGTCTAGAGCACTTCTGAGGCTTGTTTGATTCTAGGCACCTTTGTCTTTGAGCTATTTTACAACTCTGTAGATTGTAGAAAGCTGATAACGCAGATGACTCTGGCCCAGAAAACTGCACACAGTGTCCGGTGGAGCTGCCATTGGTTATCGACCTCTGGATGTTGAGCAACTTCGCATGTACTAAGCAAATTCATCCCAGCACCCTGACGCCTAACTGCGTCTGCGCTTTGGATTCTCCTTCGAACCACTTGTAACATCTTACCGGTTCCCTTATTAGTTAATAAATTAAAACCCTCTGACACCTGTTCATTTTATATCTGCAAGTCATTGTTATACCCTTTAAAAAGTTCTCCTTTAACAATATTTATATGTTTTTCTGTAGGTGTGTTAGACTTCAGTTTTAAAAAAGTTAAATTTTAAAAGGCAGGAAAGGGCACTGCACCTCTGTCTAAGGTTATCGTCACCTCTGTCTAAGGTTATCACCACTGAGCCATTCCGTTCCTGGGTGGGACGAGGGCCAGGGCGTCATGCCAAGCCCAGGGAGGCCAACTGCCAAGGCCACGGTCCCAAAGAGTGGGGACGGCAAAGTGTGACAGGACCGTGTCCCCAGCCTGGAATCTGAGCTGAGGCTGCCTGGAGCCAGCCAGGGGGAGCGCGGGGCTGCCCTGCTGCCTGACTTCATTCACTGAATTCAGAGCAAGGGTGGCCACCTCTCCTAAGAGACAGCCTGGTCCCTGCTCCTCCGGGCTGGCTGGATGCTGAACCTGCCCGGCCTCCTCCCCCAGCAGGAGGGAGCGCTATTATTATTTGATTAATTCGCAAAACAAAGACCTGGCTGGGGCAATTGGTCTTGAAGTAAGGTTCTCCAAGGGGGAGTAAATCTGAAACTGGAGCAGAGGAATAAGCCCGGGAGGAAGCAGCAGGGGTCAGACGCTGACATTTAGCACGGAGCTCCCGTCGTCGTCGTCGTTAGGGAGTCCCTGCCTGCCTCCACTGTCCACAGGGAACGGAGCAGAACCGGCCCTGGCAGAGCTGCGGTGGCAGGCGGTGGTGGACGACCGCCCCCTCCCTGGGTACCTGGCCTTATACGCCCCCTTGAGCACCAATCAGGAAAAGGATGTGGGCTTGCGGTTTGGCCCCCAAACTTGCCTGTCCCAGCCTGGGGACAGATGTGACGCTCTGTCCCCGGAAACTGAGCCCCTTTGTTGGGCATCCCTGAGAAGCGGGGGAGTCCCGGGGACAGGGCCCAGGGGACCCTCCTCCCTGCTCACCCGCCCCACTCAGCCTCCCACGGCCTTCCTTGTCCACAGACTTGCAAACCCCACAGAACACCAGACAAAAGCCCACAGTCAGCAGCCAGACAACCACAGCCATTGTGACGTCCAGGCCGGCCTTGGAGGCTCCACCTCCCACTCCCAGGAGCTTTTCAGTGTTTCTAAAAAGTGGGTCTCAGCTGGGGAAGGGAGGCAGCAATTCTGCTGCCAAAGAAAACGAGATTTTCTCCTCGTCCTTACGACTGAACAGCACGCGAGCAGGTCTGCGAGCACTTGAAGGCTCCTCAAAATCAAGCATCTCTTGGTCAACTCGAGCTCTAATTTGTTTTAAGGACCCCTCAAGGGCAGCAAATGAGGAGTGTTCTGTTTTCTGCCAACCTTGTGGAAATCCTTCACAAGGAGGAATGGCTCGAATTCCAGGACAAGAGACAACGACAATGAGCCTGAGGACGGTGGCCTGGCCCTGCCCGAGAAGGCAGTCCTCCCCCAAGCGGCCACACACCGGGCAGGCTACACTCGCGGCCCTTCTTCCCTCCTTGATGCAAGGCTTCTGGATTCCAATGGCCTGTGGGAGGCTCAGCACCCCACTGGCCGCTCCCGATTCCTGGCTAGGGGTCACTTACCAGACTACTGCCGGGGACCCCCACATCCTCAGGCTGGGCAGCTCCCTCCTGCCCTGGGAGAGTGTATCTGGAAGCAGTTCCAAGCTCATAGACGAAAGGCTGGCCTCTCTCTCCCCTCCCCTTCCCCTACAGGTGTCAGGGGTTACGCAGGTGCTGGAAAGCACAGGCAGGTGTCAGCCCCTCTCAGCTCCTCCTGCCCCCTTGCCGTGGTGGCATTAATTGCTCTAGCACCAGGGGCTCAACACAAGAGTGCTGAGTGGAAGGATGACCATTGACTGATGCCACTGAACTGCCCCACCTTTGCCAAGTAGAGCTGTGCGGGGTGCAGGGCCTGTCGCCCCCAGCTTGCAGGAGAAGGCTGTCTCAGGGCCACAGGAAGGACAGAAGCTAAGAAACCAAGTTGCACGGGAGGAACCGTCCTGTTCTCTTGGCAGGTGTCCCGGAGACCTGCTCCAGACCCCCCCTGGCAGAGTCGGCTCCTAAGGAGCTGAGGGCGGCCACACCACTGAGCCGAGTTTCTGGAGAATGAATGAATGAATGAATGAAGTTCTGCATGAGCCAGCTGGTGCAGGAAAAGTCATGACGGAGGAGGGAAGTGAACTGACTTGGGGTTTTTTAAGGCTCACTCTGGCTGCTGGGGTGAGGGCAGCCTAGAAGGGGCAGAGGAAGGAGGAAGGAAACCGGCCGAGAGCCCAGGACCACCAGCCGCTGCAAGTCCTAACCCCCAGAACCTCAGAATGTGACTGTATTCGGAGACAGGCTCTTTCAAGAGGTGCTGAAGTTAAAATGAGGTCATTAGGGTGGGCCCCAACCCACCATGACTGGTGTCCTCATAAGAAGAGGGGATCAGGACGCAGACACACACACAGAGGGACAACCATGTGAGGACAGGGAGGAGATGCCATCTACAGCCACGGAGAGAGGCCTGGGGAGAAACTAGCGCTGCCTGCAGCTTGGTCTTGGACTTGCAGCCCCTTGAACCGTGAGAAAATAGATTGGTATTTAAGCCCCGAGTCTGTGGTCATCTGTAACGGCAGCCCTAGCAAACTAATACTCCTGCAGGAGGAGGATTTAACTCTAGTTGGTTCCTAAGGCTCCTTGCAAGTAAAAAAAAAGTCTTGATTTTAACTGTTCCATTTTATCTGAGTGTTTGTGCCCTTTCTTCCCCTCCAAAGACTTGCCATTATTGAAAGTCAGGGAACTTCAAATTCCCAGCAGAGTGCTGGCAGACAGTAGCTCTTAATAAATGCTTATTGAATGGATTAAGGAACAGTAGAAAGTGCCCTTAATTCTGCAAAATATAGTGGACTTTCATTCATGCCTTCATTCAGCAAATGTTCACTGAGCACCTACTATGTGCCAGGCCCTGTTCCAGGTGCTGGTGTCACAGCCATGAACAAGAACTATCTTCCCTGCCCTCATGCAGGCAAGAACATTCTAGTATGAGGGCAGAGAAAGAGCAACCATAAACACACAAGTAAACTATGCAATATTGCTCATCAACTAGCCCCAGCTACTTAGAACACCCACCGCATGGCAGGGCTGCCCCAGAGGTGACCAGAGGTGACCCAGGCCATCCTCCTCTGTCCCAGTTGCAGCCCCAAATTGGCCACTCTATTAGCTTCCTAGGACTGCTTCATAACAAAGTACCCTGAACTCAGTGACTTAAAACAACAGAAACTTATCCTCTCCCAGTTTTAGAGGCCTGTCCCAAATCCAAGTGTCAGGAGGGCCATGATCTAGGACCGAGGAGAAGTTCCCTCCTTGTCTCTTCCCAGCTTCTAGTGGTCGCCGGCAATCCTTGGAGTTCCTTGGCTTGTGGCTGCCTCGCCCCAATCTCTGCCTCCATCATCATCACGCAGTGTCCTCCCTTTGTGTCTCTCTGTCCCAATCCCCGTCATCTTATAAGGACACCAGTCATTAGGTTAGGGCCCAGCCTAATCCAGCATGACCTCGTCTTCACTTGATTATATGAGCAAAGACCCTATTTCCAAGTAAGGTCCCATTCCCAGGCATGAGGGGTTTGAACATATCTTTTTAAGGGACACAATTCAACTCACAACAGCCACCGTGTTGCTTTGCCACTCACAGCATGCAAGATTACAGCAGAATTTAAAGGTCAGGAGTATACCTCTCCACTCCGTTCTTCAGATCCAATTAATTCTGTTACTCATTTTTGGATCTTTCTCTTTAAACTGAGCTAGAGGCCAGGAGCGGTGGCTCATGCTTGTAATCCCAGCATTTTGTGATGCCAGGGCGGGAGGATCGCTTGAGGCCAAGAGTTTGACACCAGCCTGGGCAACATAGCAAGACCTGTCTCTACAAAAAATTAAAAATTAAAAAAAAAATTAAGGCCAGGAGCAGTGGCTCACGCCTGCAATCTTAACACTCTGGGAGGCCGAGGCAGGCTGATTGCTCAAGGTCAGGAGTTCGAAACCAGCCTGAGCAAGAGCGAGACTCCGTCTCTAT